TTTGATATTTCAAATTTCCAAAGTCTACAAGTGACCTTCATGTGTTTTCATGTGTTCACAACACTCTTTCCACACGCATGCAGTTTTTGCTATCATATATATTTATAAAATTAGTATTTTTTCTTGAATATCATGCATTTGAAACTTCCATTCTTTTTTTCCTGTCATCACATTCATTTTAAACTCCTATGATTTTTCAATTTCTTTATAATGATATTTATAATTTGGTAATTAGGTTAAATAAATATCAAATCTAAAGTATATTCATATATAAACTAAATTTCAATATTAAAATAATATCTTTAATTTTACTTACAAAATTATGTTTTTTAACTTTTAACATATTATATTTAATTTATTAGTTTTAGTATATTGTTGGATGTAAACCATTATCATTTTAAAGGTATAATTTTTGAATAATTTTTATAAAATACTTCAATTATTAATTAAAATATAACAGTATAGTCTCAACTTAAATATAAATTTTATTTACCTTAAATAACCCAAAGATTATTTTATAAATAGTTAAAAGTGATAAATTGTAGTGTTTTTCTAATAATGATTGTAAGTTGGTTAATAATGTTAAATATATATCAAACCTAAAGTGTAATCATAAATAAACTAAATTTCAATTTTAAAATAATATCTTTTATTCTATTTATAAAGTTATGTCTTTAAATTTTAATATATTATACTTAATTTATTAGATTTAAAATGTTGTTGCATGTAAACCATTATCAGTTTAAAGCTACAATTTTTGAACAATTTTGACAAAATACTTAAATTGTTAATTTAAATATAACATTACAGTGTCAACTTAAATATAAATTTCAGTTCCACTAAAAACCAAATAATATTTTGTAAATAGTTGAAAGTGATAAATTATAGTGATAAATGCAAAAACTAAATTGTAATATCAGTTTAACTAAAATATTTCATAACTATATTTATATAATCGTTAAAATTTTTCAAATAAGTAGCTTAAAATAACTTATAATAACAATAGTTAAAAATAACTCTATATAAATGATTATAATGTTACCTTTAAAATCAAAAAAATAATGTTTGATGTTTTAAATAATTATAATGATAGAAATTAAAACATTAAGCAAATAAAATTTAAAAAATTAGTTAAAAATAACAACTATAAATAATATTAAACCATATATAATATTTAATTTTATTAATGTGTAACTCGCGAGTAGAAATCATTCAAATGATTGAGATTAGGACGTTATAATAGATTTATATCTTATCATGTAATTAAAAATAACCAATATATTATATCAAATTAATATACAAATTATTATATCAAATTTAACAACAACGTTAGTGTTATATTTAAAAAAATATATATATTTGTAAAACTTTAACTATATAGGTGTTTCTGCGCATTACAATGTCAACAAAAATATAAATTTCAGTTCCATTTAAAAAAAACTAAAGAATATTTTGTAAATAGTTAAAAGTGATAAATTATAGTGATAAAAGCAAACACTAAATTGTAATTTCAATTTAACTAAAATATTTTTTAAATATATTTTTATAATCGTTAAAAGTTTCCAAATAAGTAGGTTAAAATAACTTACAATAACAATAGTTAAAAACAACTCTATATAAATGATTATATTGTTAGCTTTAAATTAAAAAAAATAATGTTTGATGTTTTAAATAATTATAATGATAGAAATTAAAACATTAAGCAAATAAATTTTAAAAATTTAATTAACAATAAAAACAACTATATATAACATCAAATCATATATTATATTTAATTTTACTCATGTGTAACTCGCGGATAGAATTCATTCAAACGATTGAGATTATGAAGTTATAATAAATGTATATATTATCATATAATTCAAAATAATCAATATATTATATCAATTTAGTATATACAAATTATTATATCAAATTTAATAACAATGTTATTGTTATATTTAAAAAATCATATATTTGTAAAGACTTCAACAATATAGGTATTTATGCGCAACGCGCGGGCATTCGCCTAGTTTATTATATAATACATACTTTTAGGTTATCGATCTTAGAACAAATTTCAATAATTTAACGAGGCATAATGGTTATCAAATCAATGTGATCTCGAAGGTGAATCAATCATGGTAACTTTGAACGAGTTTTTGACAAAAGGATTAGAAATTTGCAAAGTCTTTAAGTCGATGGCTGTGTTCACGAAGTTGGGTTCTTTTCCACATATATATGTCTCAAAATTTATTATATAATACATCACAAATGAGTCTCAATCATTAACTAGTCATGGATAAAATGATTCACGGACCTTGAACGCGTGTCTCACCTTTGATTCGATATTTGCAAAGTCTTTAATGGACCCTCGTTGTAATGTCCCAAAATACGACCCAAAAATTTTGTTTAATAATTACTAAAAACACCATATTAATATCATAAAGTAAAACTCGTATGTCAATATTTCAAAACAATAGAAAGTTGTATCAAGATTGTATCAAATCACATCCATGAAAATCTAAAGAACACAACTCCCAGGACAACTGAAGCGGTGGTGTGTGTGATGACATCAACCCGAGCTCTTCCCTTTATTTGCGGAAGTACCTGAAACCAAAACTAAAACTGTAAGCACAAAGCTTATTGAGCTCCCCCAAACTACCACATACCATACAATAACATATAAAGACATACTGGGCCTTGCCCACTGCATCGGACCGGAGTCCGGAAACTGCATCGGATCGAAGTCCGGAACTAACCAGGGACTTGCCCTCTACATCGGACAGAAGTCTAGAAACTGCATCGGACCGAAGTCCGGGACTGACTGGGACCTTGTCCCCTGCATCAGACCGAAGTCCGGAATTAACTGCATCGGACCGAAATCCGGAATCTGACTAAGCATATCATAGCATAGCATAAACGTATCAACTAACATAAGCACATAAACTATATACTGCATCGGGCTGTAGCCCGGGACACATAACACATAAATCCTGTTTGAGCCACGGAGGCATCAAACATACTAAAACTGCATCGGACCGAAGTCTGGAAACTACTACTAGCTAAACGGGTCAGCATTGTGGCCTTAGACCCGTTCCTACTGGAAGGAAACTCACCTCATGACGCTGACTGCTGAAATCCTGAATAAGAAATCCCTGACGGCTGCTCCGGCTGCTTCCCAGCTATAATGGGAAATAAACACTAGATTAGACTATGGATTCCTCTATGGGTAATGCTCATGCATCTCCTCCTCTGATTCCTACGTCCACTCTAAACCCTTCTGGTGTTGCCGCTGCACCTTTACTAGCTGAATTACCTTGTTCCTCAAGGTCTTTGCTTTCCCGTCCAGAATCGCGACCGGCCTCTCGATATAATTCAGCCTGCTATCCACCTGAATGTCCTCTATGGGAACAACTGCTGACTCATCCACCAAACACTTCCTCAGCTGGGATACATGGAAAGTATTGTGGATCTGGCTAAGCTCTGCCGGAAGATCCAACCGATAAGCAACCCGACCCACCCGGGCCAAAACCTTAAAAGGACCAATGAACCTGGGGACCAACTTGCCCCTTTTACGAAACCTGATGACTCCCTTTCAGGGTGATACCTTCAGGAGGACCATGTCGCCTTCCTGAAACTCCAAGTCTGATCGCCTCCTGTCGGCGTAATTCTTCTGCTGACTCTGCGCAGTCTGCAGCCTACCGCGTACCTGCTGGATCAATTCTGTCGTCTTGAGCACCACTTTGGTGCTCCCAATGACACGCTGACCGACCTCTCCCCAACAAATCGGGGTCCTACACTTCCTCGCATATAGCATCTGGAAGGGAGGTCGGTCAATACTCGCATGGTAACTGTTGTTATACGAAAATTCAGCTAACGGAAGATACGTATCCCAACTGCCACCGAAATCTAGGACACATGCCCGAAGCATGTCCTCCAGGGTCTGAATCGTCCTCTCACTCTGTCCGTCCGTCTGGGGGTGGAAAGCGGTGCTGAAATGGAGACGAGTACCCATCTCGTCATGAAACCGCTTCCAAAATCTGGAGGTAAAACGGACATCTCAGTCTGACACCACTGAAACAGGCACCCCATGCCGTGCCACCACCTCTCGCACATAAATATCGGCTAGCTTCTCAGCTGATATGCTCTCCTGGATCGGTATAAAATGTGCACTCTTCGTCAACCGATCCACTATAACCCAAATTGCGTCCACTCCTCGAGTGGTACTGGGAAGCTTAGTGATGAAATCCATGGTGATGTCCTCCCATTTCCATAAAGGAGTGGCTAACGGATGCATCTTTCCGTGAGGTCTCTGGTGCTCCGCCTTAACCTTCCTGCAGGTCAGGCATCTTTCCACATACCAGGCCACATCCCGTTTCATGCAGGGCCACCAATAATCGGGTCTAAGATCTCTGTACATCTTTGTTGCCCCTGGATGGATGGAGAATCGAGACTTATGAGTCTCGTCCATCAGCACTTGCCGTACTCCGCCCCACTACGGTACCCAGACCCTCCCATGAAGGGTCAACAATCCTCGACTATCATAGTCAAAGGAAGCTACTCGGCCTACGATCCTCTCACACTTCTGCCTCTCCTCCTTGAGGCCCTCGGCCTGCGCCTCTTTAATTTGCTCCAGCAATGGAGTAATCACTGTCATCCTCAAACAAATGTCTCTAATCGGTGTTGCTGCTGCCTTGCGGCTCAGGGCGTTAGCCACCACATTGGCCTTCCCTGGGTGATAAAGGATCTCACAGTCGTAATCCT